GATTCATAAAGTACTGTAAAAAAATTGCCGTGTTGTTAAAAAATTCAACACTGTTAAAAAATTCGCCAACGGAGAATCTCTGGCAGCGAAGTAACAGCACTTTCTCCGTAAAAAATAATGTTTTCCGTAGTTTCTATTTTCCGTAAAAATCAACGGAAAAAGTCCGTTAAAAAATACAGAACTTTCTCAAGGTAAAAAACATTTTAAAAAACATTTTTTTTTTTTTTTAATTTTTTAAACCTTTTTTTTAATTTTTAAAATTATTTCAACAAACTTTTGGTTGCAACTAAAAACAGAATTTTGTTTTTAGCTGCAATTATCAATAAAAACATCTTCAGAATTGTCTGTAGATTCAATTGCATTGACACGATTTCATTAAGAAATAAAGTCTAAAAATAATATACTGCCAAGTTTAGTAGAAATCAAAGCCTGCCAACTCGACTAAAAATCCATATATTCATGTGTAATTGCCCGTATATTGAATTATGGGATGTCTTGCGGGACCATATTATAAACAACATAAATTTACTATACATCTTTGTTGTCTGCTAAATATATATTATATATTATAATATTATTAGGTTTTGCTTTTCAAAAATTAAGTTGTTTTTTCTATAAATACAATATTAAATATGCCAGCCTTTTGCTCAGCCATCAGTTGTGTTAACAAGCGTGGAAAGAATGTTGGAAATAATATATCTTTTTTTAGATTTCCAAAAGATAAAAATAGGTAAGTAATTATTAGTCAAATCAAGTTTATTAAATAACTAGTATATCAAGAATTTAAAGAAACTTTTAAAACATTGTTTTACTTTAAATTTTATGAAACAAAAAATATTTATACATAATATGATGTAAATAATTCCACTAAATTAATTAGGTTTAACCTATTATTTAGATGCAAGCTTTGGGTTCGTAATTGTCGTCGTCAAGATCTCGATACAAAATCATGTGAAGAACTTAATCTTAACTATACTATTTGTAGTGAACATTTTGATTCTTCACAATACTATCTTGCCAATAATGGTAGTAAAAGAGCACTTGTAACTGCTGTACCAACAATTTTTAACTTTCCAAATCAACCTTCTACCTTAAATTTAAAAAGAAAACAGCCTACAAACAGACTTCATTTACAAGATAAAATACAAAAAAAAGAAATCAACGATAAAGTCAAATTAAATAAAATAAATAGTGTTGAGAATAGCAGTACAAATAATGTAACTGTCAAAACTACTTTTAAAAATAAATATTTATCATCTCAAGTTAAGATTTGTCGACTTAAAAAAAAACTTAAAAACCTGAAGATAAAGCATGATATGTTAAAAAAATGCGATGGTTCAATAGAACATATTATTAATTTGTCTAAAAAATATTTAACAAATACTCAACTTCAATTTTTTGAAAGTCAATTACGTATGAATAATCGTATCAAACAGGGAAAACGTTGGACTATTGAAGATAAAGTTTTAGCTTTAAGAATCATGTATCGCAGTCCACAAGACTGCGATACCTTCTAGAAGCACTATTTTAATGTTTCTTGAAAAATCTTTTGGGACCCTTGAATCTGGTTTTTCCAATAAGGTTATTGCTTTACTAAAAATGTGAGTAAATACCATGAAAAAATTGGAACGAAACTGTAGCCTTGTTTTTGATGAAATGTCTTTAAAGCAACATCTTGATTATGACAAAAACAATGATAAGATCATTGGGATTCAATCTAATGGCAAACCAGTAAACCAAGTACTTGTATTGATGGTCCGTGGATTATCAACAAAATGGAAACAACCAATTGCATATTTTTACAGTAATACTACTATGTGTTCAACCAACTAAGCTAAGATAATAAATAATGCCATGATTCATCTACATAAAATAGGTTTAGCTGTAAGATGTCTTGTTTGTGATCAAAGCTCGAGTAATATAAGAGCTCTCAAATTTTTAGGATTTTCATTATTAAATCAACAAATTTCACATCCAACTACACAAGCAAAAGTTTATATAATATTTGATCCACCACATCTTATAAAAAATGTTAGAAACAATTTAATAAAACATGACATTTTATCTGATGGTAAAATAATATCGTGGAAGCATCTGGAAGAACTTTATAATTTAGACAAAGTTACTGCTGCGCGACTTGTGCCAAAGTTGACAGATCGTCATTTAGATCCAGGATCACTATTAGCTATGCGAGTAAAATTGGCAACACAAGTTTTTAGTAGTCAAGTTGCTACTGCTTTGACTGAATACGCTTCTGCAAAACTATTGCCTGAAAATGTTTTGTCAACAGCCTTTTTTATTAAAAATATGGATATTTTATTTGATATCTTGAACTCTCGGAAACTAAAAGCAGATAAATCAACACGCTCTGCTTTAACTCTAAATAGTAGTTTTATACAAAAGCTTGAAGATTTAAGAGTTTGGATTAAGGGTTGGCATTTTTCTGGTGCTCGCAGCCAAAAAAGTATATCCAGTCATTGGGGTTTAGATGTCACTATTTCTAATATTCTTTGTCTTGTAAACGAGTTGCTTCATGAGGATTTTTTTTATGTTTGCACAGCTCAATTTAATCAGGACTGTTTAGAAAATTTTTTTGCATTAATACGAAGCAAAGGAGGCTGGAATGACAGACCAACAGCAATGCAGTTTAAATCAGCATATAAAAATGTCTTAGTACTCCTTTCAATAGAACAATCTAACTCTAACAGTAATTGTCTCCCTGAATCAGATTTCTCAGCTGCAGTTACCATTGACTCAATCACCAATATAGTATTTGAGAATCAAATTTCTGCAAATGAACAATTGATTTTCAAACATCCAACTGCATTATGTAAGAAACAAAAGCCTTACACATTACAAACTGTTTCGACTGATTCAGTTTCACAGTCAATTAAACAGGTTTTGAAATTAATTGCAGATGATTTGATAAAGAAAGTTCAAGTCTGTCAAAAATGTGTACAAGTTCTTTCAAGTGTGGCACCCTGTGAAAGTAACTTATTTAATTCTGATTCTTTTTTACAAAACCTACTTCACGAAATGGAAACTGTTTTTATAACCCAAATGAAACTTATATTAACTAAAAAAAATATTATACAACAAATTATTAAAGTAATAAAAAACGATTGCAATTTTACATTTCTTTATGATGAACATATTGATCATGCTTTTCATTTAGAAGAAAGTTTAGTCAGACACTATGTTTATATGAGAATATCTTATTATATAAGGTTTTATAATCGTGATCTGGCACCACGAAACAAGACATGTAAAAACAAGTTAGCTCGCATTATCCATGCTTAATTTTATTTTAATGATAATTCTTGAAACAATATATTTCTTATTTATTATTGTTGTTTTTTCTCTCAGCATTATATATTTAGCATCTAATTAAGGGGTATATATTTAAATATATATATTTAAATATATACCCCTTATATATTTAAATATATATTATATACTCAACTATATATTTAGCATCTAATTAAGGGGTATATATTTAAACTAATATGGAGTATTTATTTAAAATAATATGAAACGAATACAGTGATAACATGATTAAAATGACTTATGCAAAACATGCTAAATTTACAACTGCGTCATTAATGTTAACATATTAATGTTAGATGATATATAAATGTTATATAAGCAATGTTATGAAATAGTTTTAAAATTATTTTAATTTATAAAAGAAAAGTTTTTTAATGGGAAGCCCTCTGGTAAGAATAATGCAAAGGTATAAATATTTCACTAAGAGTTGCGTTGTTTATGATTACTTGGTCCCGCAAGACATCCCACAATGCTTTGCAGATAAAATTACATATATTTATCGGGAGTTGGCAGGCATTGGTAGAAATGTTTTAAATAAATAATTTTTCTTGTTTTTTTCAGATTTTTTCATCTCTTGAACTGATACATGATAATTTCCATCTGAAAACTTTCGATAAGAACCAAATCGTGCTTCCAAACAGTTTGTTTGAAATTTTCTTGTCAACACATAGAAAAAATGCAAATCGGTTAGCATGTATTTAATCAGTTTAGTAAAAATAATATTTTAAAGAACTAATGTTTTTTTTTTCTGATTTTTTTTTATCTGTTGGACTGATACATGATAATTTCTATCCGTAAACTTTCGATAAGAACCAAATCTTGCTTCCAAATAGTTTGTTTGAAATTTTTCTATCACCACATAGAAAAAATGTAAATCAGTTAGCATGTATTTAATCAGTTCAATAAAAGTTATCTAGTGTGTTTTCAAGCAAAAATAGTTTGCTTAGTTAGGCAGCCATCTCTGCTTTTTTGTTAAAAATTTTCCAATCCTTGAATTCAAAAAAAAAAAAAAAAAAAATTTTTTATTAAATAAAAAAGTCATTGTTTAAGTCATTGATAGGATTACAATTATTACCTTGCTTACAAATTCCTTTACCAGGAACCATTTAATATTTTCCGGAGTTTTATAATTAAAGAATTAAACGCATGAGTTCCTATCAGAGTTGTTAGTCCTTGGCCTTGCCTTTGCCTAAAGGCTGAAAATTAAGGCCTTGGCCTTGGCCTTTAAACCGTTGGCCTCCCAGTTAACCACGACAAATGGGTCCCAGCTGGGACCCATCTGGGCGAAATGCTGGGACCCACCTGGGTATCCCACATGGATCCCATCGTGATTTTGTAAGTGGGACCCAACTGGGTCCCATCTGGGCTTAGTCTGGATTTTAGATGGGAAATCCCATATTGAACCCAGATACTTTTTTTATTTGCTGCGCGTCTTCTTAATTATTTGTAGTGTTTTTCGCAGATTTGCGATTTTAATTTATTATTTTGTGATCTCGCATCTGCAAAATAAAGTAACTTTTTCGATTTAAAAGTGTAGCATTATTTATTTAAAATGAAAAAGTAAAGGTTATTTTATACAGTTTATATTAAATTCGCGATCTGGGCATTAAAATGTATTAGGCGAATGAATATTTGGTCTGACATAATTAATACGGATCAATTTAAAAAACAGATTTGAATTTCATAATATTTTTAAGCAACAAAAAACTATCATCATACAATGAATTGATTCAAAACTGTTCGACAATAAATATATTCTGTTACGGTAGTTCTCATATTGCAACCGTGATCGCATGACAAAATTCTTCTTTAATTTGTATCGTTTTGCTTCTTTAGTGCTTTCATCCATTTTTACACTAATTTTATAAAGTAAAAATAAAAAATTGAATAATATAATAATTTATAGCATATATATTTTTAAAGTATAGATAAAAATATTTTTTGTTAATTTTAATTAGGGCATACCATGCAGTGTGCTATACTATGCCATATCTTGCATATAACTAACAAGCACTAGGCAAAAAAAAAAAAAACACGCTTAAATCACAAGCTGACTCAATACAGTATATAAATCGATATAAGTGTAAAATAACCATAGCCAGATTGAAATATTCCCATAGTTTGTTGTTACAATAACAACATAAACAAAAAATAAAATAACAAATAAAAAAGTGAAATACAAAAACAAATACTAGAGAACTGGAGCCTTGATATGATACTATGTATAACAGTAACTTCTACAGTTCCCAACATCAAGTTTAAAAGTTTCTTCTTTCAGTTCTTCAGTTTTTCTAACAGGCATCCTACAGGAAATCTAAAGCAATGTTATTTTACAGTTAATGTTTGATGTTATTTATTAGGCCTGACATAAATAGACTTGTAAATAACTATGATTATAATTAAAATTACAAGATTATTATGTTACCAGTGCCGCCGAGAGGGTGGGGCGAAAGGGACAGTTTGTCCCGGGCGGCAGATGTCCGAGGGGCGCCAAGAAAAGAAATGTATCTAAAAAAAAAAAGATCCTTCACTCAAGGATTCTGTCCCGGGCGGCGCGAAGACTCTCGGCGGCCCTCTATGTTACCATTTGAAATTTTAAGTCTTGAACAAGTTGACTAAAAATTTATTTTTTAATTTCATTATGTCTTTGAGATACGTTTTTTGATAATAAATTCAAAATATTATTATACATAAATAATTACTTTATTACAATGCAATTGATGACAATACATGATGCGATTAAACTATTAAAAATTGATTATTGGAGTAATAATGTATAACATACATGCTTTAACATATTTAAATAAATTAGTAAATATTATTCTACCAATCAACTGACAAATGAAAATAAAAATTACCATGGAGGTACCAGATGAGATTTATGTGAAAAATCCTGCAAGTGTGTATTCATTCCAAATCACGTTACACCTACTGTATATGTCCATTTAAAGGATTTTATTTTAAAAGATAAACTAGTTTTAATACCATCCACAATCCATTCACAGAAGCCCAGGTCAAAACCTGTATACTTAACAAATTCTATATATTTTTCATATACAGAAATTATTTTAATTATTTTATCAAACTCTGTTAATTAATGGTTTGAGATATTAAAACTCAGGTAAAAAAACCTTTCCTTACCTTTTTAAAACCTAAATATTGAAAATGATGATGTGAAACTTACTAGATTTAGTTGAACCATTATATGGAAGATGCAGCGTAATTTTGTCAAAAATTAACATTTGTTCAAGTATTGTAATTTCGTTTGTTAATCATAAATTTACACAGATCTCTAAAAACAAAACACAGATTAATAGTATCTTATTATTATATTAGAGATTATAGTAACCGCTTAAATAATTAAAAATTCCCTATTCACTAAATGAATAAAAGTTTTAAACAAAATAAAAATTCATAAAGTTTTAAACAAAATAACATAAATATAAATTTAATTCAACAATTTAAAAATAAAATTATGTGTTGATAGACTGCGATAACAATTTTAAATATCTTAAAACCTTAAAAAAAAAATGGCAGCTACTATTATACCCTTAATAATTTACTACTGAACTGCTGTATAAATTGTGTAAATAAAATACTATTAAATTCTCTATTACATAAATAACATATATGCTAAGCATGATGCTTTCAGAGCAAACTGACAAAAATAAACAAGAAGATCGAGAACATTTGTCAATACTTCCCTTTTTAAGACTAGCTAAAACGTTTGTAAATTGAATATCTGAATATTGCTATTAGTGATGTACCGATTGCACATTTTTGGCCGATGCCAATGAATAGTTAAAGGCTGATGTCGACACCGCTGGATTAACTAATTATTAAATTTTTTGAAAATATAAAACCATACAATTTTAAGTTGTGTTTTTTAAATTCATTAAGTTAATTTTTTCAAGAAATCATAACTGGTAAACAAATACTTGGATCCAAATCAGATCCAAACCTATATTTTAAAAGCTATTAGAAAACTTCAGTTAAAATCATATACATTTTTTAAATTTTCAAGTCTAAAAAACTATATAATGCAGGGTAAAAATGTTAAAATGCCATCAGTTGGAGAATCGGTAAACTGATTTAAAAAGGCCGATTAAGCTGATGCTGATTAATCAGTACATCACTAACTACTATCAAATAATATACACATTTTTATTATAGATTAAAGATAGATTGGTATGTAAAAAAGATTTGATGCCTGTGGAAGCACCACATCTTTTTATAAAAGTGTTTCCTTTCTTATTTCTTCAAAATTTATTGAAAACGATAAAACCGCTCTTGATACACGCTACAAATATACCATTCATGGAACGCAGTACCAATCCAATTTTTACCTTTACAAAATTTTTAGAAAATATGCAAAAACATGC